CAACCTCAACTTGTACTTCTTCAATCTCTCAAACAACTTGTGAGGTGGTCGAGATGTTCTTCTCCAGTCAGAGACCTGGCTATCATGTCATCAACGTAAACCTCTATCTCATGGTGGATCATATCATGGAACAAAGCTACCATAGCCCGCTGATATGTTAAACCAGCATTCTTCAAACCAAAAGGAATAACTTTGTAACAGAAAGTTTCCCACTGTGTGTCAAAATTAGTTTTCTCCATTTCTTCAGGTGCCATCTTGATTTGATTATAACCAGAGAAACCATCCATGAAGGAAAATACTTTGTGCTGAGCGGTGTTGTCAACCAGAACATCAATATGTGGAAGCGGAAAGTCATCTTTGGGGCTTGCCCTATTCAAATCCATGTATTCTATACATATACTCACCTTACCGTCCTTCTTAGGTACCAACACCACATTTTCAACCCATTGAGGATAGGATGTAACATCTAAGAAACATGCATTGAACTGCTTCATGACCTCAACTTTGATATTTTCAGACATCTCGGGACGCATACGACGAACCTTCTTCTTTATAGGAGAACAACCTTCCTCCATCGATAGACGATGAACCATAATATCAGTATCAAGCCTTGGCATGTATTCATAAGACCAAGCAAAGATCTCAACATAGTCATGTAACATGTGGATTAACCTCTTTTTGACATTGTCTTCTAGGTTGGCACCTATCTTTATTTATTTCTTGTCCCCTTCAGTACCCAGGTTCACAACCTCGACTGGCTCTTCATGCGGTTGTATGGCTCTTTCTTCCTGCTCTAACAGTCTAGCAAGCTCTCCAAGTACTTCCCAATCTTCCTCACCTCCGTCTTCGGCTTGGTAGATCGGATTTTCAAAGTAATAATTGGCAATAGCAGAATTGTTATCAATGGGACCCAGGGTGGATGTGGATCTGCAATTTGTTATGTGGGTGTTTGTAAGAACATATAGCTATTTTGAAAGAAATAAAGTAAAAGAAAGACAAAGAGCACAAAATTTGAATGCAAGCGTCCAATGATTTATTAAATGAAAATATGTGGATGATAAATGACAACCCTAACAAATGGTCCGGTGTGCCCCGGGTAAGGCACAAGGCTTAAAGTTATTGTTCAAATTACATAACCAAAAACATGAAAGCAAGAAAACATAAAGTAGCATTTACTCCTAACTAAAGGAGACTGGTATAAAGTCTCAAGCCTTCCAATTGTTGAGCCCACTGCCGATAGTAGGGAAAATCCAACTATATATGTCACATTCACTATCAACGTCTTTCATAACGTTGACTTGATTTTTGTGAATTCCATTATTGTTGATGTGGAATGGCGGTCTCCCAGAATCAGCACGAGCACGACGGACATCCCTCTAAGCCTCTGAGGTGAAACCCAAACCAAATTTGTCAGACATGTAAGGAATATTGGGAAGCTGATCCCAAATAGTGCTACCACCTTCTTCTATTACAACCTTAGCGTCTTTTAGAGAAGTCATTCTTGGTAGTAGCCTTAGGAACAACAAGAACAACTTTAGCAACATGGGTTGTCGGCGGAATAACTTTAAAGGTCTGGCAAGAAGTCTCGAAGAATTGACCATCCATCTCAACATACTTGAAGGAGTTCAAATAGCTCACCTGATATTCTTCTTCGCCATAAACTGTAATGATTTTTCCTTTCACGGGATACTTCAACTTTTGGTGTAAGGTAGAAGTAACAACACTCGCCCTATGAATCCAAGGGCATCCAAGCAAAAGTGAAGAGGCTGGACGAATGTCCATCACATAGAAAGTAGAGTCGAAGACCTAGGAACTCACTTTGATGGGAAGATTAACTTCTCCATGCACCATTCTTTTTGAACCATCAAAAGCTCTCACCATAACGTCATTGTGTTTTAGCACAACCCCTTCATAGTCAAGTTTGTCTAAAACATCTTTTGGCAATACATTCAATGAGGAGCCTGTATCTGCCAACACATGAGATAAGGTAGTGCCCCTACACTCAATAGATACATGCAGGGCCTGGTTATGGTTCCTTCACGCGGCAGTTGAATCAACGTCAGAAAAGCCTAGCCCATATTCAATTGTCATAATAGAAACACAATTTTCAATATGATTGTAGCGGTAAAATAAATGAAGTCGCCACCGAGTATTTATTTATCCCATATGAAAGGGAAAGGAAAAATCATCGAAGAAAAACCTAAAGGGGGAAATCAAGGTCTTGCGACCGAGAGATTGGGTAAGGGAGTCAATTACACGAGGGGAAGGTATTAGCACCCCACACGTCCATAGTATTCTACGGGATCCACTCTCGTTGTTCTAATCAAAGGGTGTGTTCAATCTAATGCTTAAGAGTGATAAACTAAGAGGTAATGCATGCAAAGAAAGGAGAAATAATGTAGGGAAAATAAAGTTGTACTCTCTTGGGCCCTACCCCAATGCCTGCGTATCCTTTTTGAGGAATCAGAGCTACCGTAGTTCGACTCATATATTTTGTTTGTTTGTATTTTTAAAATGAACAATGTTGCATTCGACCATTCCACCGCTGCTCGACCTTTGGAGACTTACGACCTGTAGTGGAAAGGAGCTAACATGCTCTTAGAAGAGAAAAGTCGAATGGCGAAAAGAAATGGATTGGTTGGTATTTTTTTACCATGAAAAGAATTTTTTTGTATGGCTAGCATTTCTTATATATTTGCCAAGAAAAAGAAGTTTTAGTTTTAGATGCAATTATGCAAAAACGGGAAGAAAACATATAAGGGAGACTAACCTATCTCTAACCTAATGTTATCATACAATGATGGATCCTATCTAAGTTAGCATGCCAAAGAAAGTCTAACAAAACTATCCTATAGGGAACATGCACTGAGAGCGAAGTCGTGATCTCAATTTCTAAATTGAGTGACTCATCGATCAACAAGAAATAAAGGAAAAATATAAAACCTATAGGGAGCATGCACTGAGAGCGAAGTCGTGATCTCAATTTCTAAATTGAGTGACTCATCGATCAACAAGAAATTAAACAAACACAAGCACAACACATGTAGTAAATGAAGCGCGAAATGCCTGCTACAGGTCTTTAAACAGCGACTTCGAGCGCACGCTCTTTATTTCCTACTTATCATGATATCTAGAAAGAAATAAATGCAGAATTATAGCTTGAAAGCAATATAATACCAAACGAATAATAAAGTCCGCAAAAAGCACAACCAAAGGAGAGAGACTCGGAATGCTTCGCGCGAGCTAGTATCAACAAATAAACAGTCAGAGATCGAATATTTGGAATAGGTGTTGAAGCTTCATCGATGTGAAAAGTAAATCACAATAGGAATCCAAAACACATTCGCGTATCAAATAATGAACCTGCATAAGACTCAGCTCAATAAGCAAGGGTGAATCACAAATTTCAAGTTATCGAAAAATTCAGGAATAAATTTTCTAAAAATCAAATGAGAAATCCAACAAATTTATTGATTTTTTTTAGTTTGTTACCTAAAATGATGAGAGGCATCCCCAAGATCTATATTTTTTATTTTTTTTATTATATGTATTTTACTATTATTTTTATTATAAAAGGAATTTAAACTAAAACTAAACAAAATCTAGAAAAAACATAAGAAATATAATTGATCAGGGGGTGTTGAACTAGATTCTGGGCGTGTATTGAAGTAAGGGCACTAGGCCCGATTACCTTGCAATCCAACAAGATTTTTGTGCCAAAGAAATTTTGAGTACAAAAAAAATATGGTGTATCGGGCTTAAGCAAGAGTAGTTCAGCCCCAATAAACTGTATGATTCGGTCCAATCTGAGCATTCATCACCAAACCATTACTACACTATTTGATTAGTATTGTACTTGAAATTAACAAAACAAAGTAAATAAAAACGATGAAATTTTGCGCATTTAGGGTAAAAAAAAGACTGTGACGACTCAGCTCCATACGATCGCGAATCTCTTCCTCTTTGATACGAAGTGCGACGGCTACCATTTCAAACTCACCTCTCTTCATCTCCTTCAACCGCCAAACTCACGGCAAACCTCGTCGCTCTCCCATTCAACTTTCTCAATTACGATTGCTCAACCTTCTTCTTCAAGAACGACTCACAACGGTGCTCTCGTCCACCACGATCTTCACTCTTCTGCGGTCAATTTTCTTTGCTACTTCTGTGCCTCTCTTATTCGTGCTTCAAACAGTATGAAACGATAACATAGATTGAAAAAAATGGAATAATTTGAGGAGAATTACCGTCTAGAGAAGAGTTAGGTTCTCCTTCAATACACGACGAGAAATCCAAAGGTAAATCATTTGCTCTATTCTTCTTCTTCTTGTTTCTGTGATTCCTTTCTTGCGCTTTCTGTTGTGGTAATTGTGAAATTGCAGATTCAGCGGTGTCGATGCGATGAAGATGATGCATGGCTTACAGATTCCAACACGGTTCACCAGGATATGCGACTTGCAAGATGAATCAAGGAAGATGAATATTGAAGGCTGGAGATGAAGAATCGATGCCAATCTTCAAGGGGGTAGAGACTACAGAGAGAGTATAAAGAAGTCAGAGTCCCCACAGTGAGTTCTTGAGAGATAGAAGTCTTTCCAGATGGAGGGAACTTGTGGTTTTCTGTTGAAGGTTAGAGGCATGAATAAAATCCCCAAAATTGTCAAGAAAAAAAAAACCCTCCTTCATTCTGTTGGAGTTTTCTTCTATACTTGATGCGAGTTTGTTAGAGGTAATGAGATCTCAACCCTTGGCTTATGAATTTCAGTTACAGATTGATGGATCAGATTCAAACTGATAGGAGTTAGTTTTTTAGTTAGTCATTCTGTTAGGAATTCTGTTATTTGTTATGGGCTACAATCTCTGAACCTGTTTCTCCCTATTCTCTTTATTTTTCTTTTAACTTCTCCTTTATTTTTCATCCTGTTCTCTAGCCCTCTCACCCACATCTTAAAAGTCATGTCAGCTTATGATGAAGATATACTGTGGAAATTCACTTCACTTTACATCTTTGCTAATCGTAACAAGTGATCAGGCAAGAAAAGTTTCAGACTAGGTGCCTTGGGAGAAATCTGAATAATGTCCCCATCTGTCATAGTTGATATGGGAGCCATCAATATATATCACACCCTTTCTACAAGCCCCTGTAGTGTTCATTGTTTCGTTGTGTTTAATCAATCCATGCATAGAGTCAGACTCTTCCCTAGGCGAGATAGGTTCCCTTACCATGTACTGGAGAAACCGGGATAAAATGGGCATCAGAAATCCACCTGCTGAATGCATTGAAGCCGTTGAACCGGCAGTTGTTGAAAGCCTTAGACCGCTTGATCTAACGTTAACTAGTGCCGAAAATAGTTGATTTTCCTTTGCAATTCTGAAGGAGAATCTAGAGATTGAAGCAGGACACAGATTTGCAACTAAGATATCTTTGAGAGCATAAGTTTGCAAGTCTAACCCATTTACAGATATCTTGATCCTTGTTAACTTGGAAGGAGCTATTTGATTTTCGACTATACCATCTAGAACTTGTTCAAAGTTTTCAACAGTTGCAGCACAAAGATGGCCCGTGCTTCTAGCAGCATCAAACTCACCACTGAATTTTTCCACCTCATCAATCCGAGTAGGATCTGAGTTCACTCCAAGAACAGGAATTTTGTCGTCCATTAAATGGCTAGCCAGCTGAAGAGTTCCATCACCACCAATTGCAACAACCAGGTCCACATCATTGATGGGCTCTGTCAAATTGTTTCCAAGCACTGATTTCCATTCAACTGACTTTTTCTGAAAAATTTCTTGACAAAAGTTTACGGATTCACCGTGCACCTTCTGCCTGTTATTCAAAAAGTGTAAGACCCGGGGGTGAGTGTGGGAAGGTTGCGCTGATAAACCAGAGGGTTTTAGCAGTAGTAGCAATTTCTTCATCGTTATTTGCTTTCGTTCTCTCAACTGAAACTGAAAATGAAAAATGAAATTGAAAAGGAAACTGAAACAAGAGAGTTTTTTGTGAAGTTTCTATTTTTGAAACCTAGATTTCGGTTAGTTGGCTAAGTTCTGTTAACTTTTTTTGTTTGAACTATTATGAAAGTTAGTTTAAAAAAAACGGTTACGGCCTGATAGTCTTAATAGTTAGTTAAGCTAAAGTGAGGTAGTTAGTTAAGGTTTATGAATAATATTTGTTAGTTTTATTTAGTTATTTTCAGTTATAGTCAGTAAATCGGTTAGAAAACAATTAAGAGGTTCGGTTAGTATTGACAGCTGATTTCTGATTATGCAGGGTCCAATTTGGATTTTATATGGTTATTTGATGCAGACTATTCAAAGAAGTGCAGGGCTGAAGTGTTCAGTTCTGGTTTAGACTAATGAGGTGCATTGAATGAGCAGGGGATTATGGCTTGAAGATAACAAGGTTCGGTCATGGACTGAAAGGAATTAGAGATTGGTCCAAGCATGAAGTTTAGACATTAGGATGAAGTTTTATGTATTTCTTTTGTAACTCTTGATGTAAATTGAATTTGTGACGATAATGAAGTGGAATTCAGTACATGCACTTGAAATTCCTCTTTGTAATGGTACATGATATAGATGGCCATGTAACATTTCAAAGATTCAATGATAAACCTTAGTAATAAAAGTGTCCTCTTTCTTTCCTATTGAATACGTTCTCTTTGATCTTGACATGGCATTGATGGAATGATGATGTAATGAAGTTTGACGCATGGTTTGGAATCCTTTGAATTTAATGATAATTTCCACAAATTCAAATAGTCTTTTTTCCAAAAGTAACTTTAAATCCCGAACATCTTTTCTTTTGAACTTTGAATAGATCATGGTATGCAAAGTCTCCCTTTTTACTATTTGCCATTTGAATGGACCAAGTGATACCAAATTGATTCATCATGTCTTAAAGTGTCTTCATGTATTTGAATGATCCTTGTATCCTTATCAAGATTGGTATGTAACCCTAATTCTTCACACGATACTCTAGGTTTTAATCTCAAGTAAGTTGGGATGAAGTCCCAAAGAAGGCTTGTGTCACAAGTAAATCACATGTTCAGATGAATAACTTTACATCAATTATCTGCACCCCCTAACTTGTAAGATGAATCCACAAGAAACTATCTTCTTCTCTTGCATAGAGCCATGTCCTCGTTTCTTGCGATTCAAGTAATGAATACCTTGCTGCTTGACAAAATTATATCAAATGAAACCCTAGTTATCCATGGATGATATCCTCTAATGATAGTCATGTCTGATGATCCCAACCTCACAAAGAAACCCCTCTTGAATGGTACATGATCCATGGAAATAAACCATGATAAAAGGATGATGATGAAAAAAGAAGAGGGTGCTTGTAGAACCTCCATGCTCGGATTCATGGTCTCCAGAATAACTGGTATTATAAGAAACCATAGCCATCTCATGTGATGGAGAAAACCAAAAATATTGAGAAGAAGAAGCCTTCGATGGTGAGTAATCAAGTGTTTGAAGATCATATTATAACTTTGTCCAAGGCGTACATCCCAACTCACGCCATTGCCATCTTTGTAGCCTTGAGGACAAAACCTAGCCCAATGACATTCTTAGATAATATATGATAAAGTCTCAAGTACACAGGTTGAATTCCAAAGCACATATTCTTCGAAGAAAGCTCTGATGAAGAAAAAATTGTATCTTGAGAAACCCTGCTAGTGAAGACGTCTATGTTGCTTGAAATCAAAAACCCTAATCTCATACCAAGAATAATGAGAGCACCCGTTGAATCAATTTGAAGAATGTAACAACCTTAGTCCACAGAGAACAACTCCACTACCAAAGCTCTTCGATCTTATAATCATGAGACCAATGCTATGTGTGAGATGTACAGAGTATGGTGAGGGATCTTAGGGGGGAAAATTAGGGTATAACAATGATCAACAGAGATTTCATGCGGTACATGAGCATATTTCAGAAATTTTACCAAAGCCTGAACATGGGCTTCAGAGCACAACAACAGAGATATCATTGATATTTTGGAGGGGGTCTGTCCTAACTATTCAACAATCTTATAGTCACGCTTTCGAATAATTTTCAGTACTTCCTCCATCTCTTGCTTGGAGGTATCTTCAACAGTAACATCTTTCGGTGCCTCTATCTGGGCAGGCTCAATCATCTGTTCTTTGCCTCGAGTCTCAATAGTTGATTCAGTAGCAGTGATATGAACTAGTGTAGTAACAGCCTTTGTAGAGATATTTAGAGAGAAAACTCTTCCACTTCTGGTAACCTTACTAGTCCCAAGAATATTTCCAACATTGGGATCAATAACTTCAGCTTTTTCATCTTCGACAACCAATGGTTCTTGCTTGACTCCATGGTAGTAGACATCAGCTCCAGAATTCCAAGGGATAGCCTTGTTAGAGGAATATGGAATTGGCTTAGTTGCGGTAATGATCAGAGGAGAACCCCTAGGCTCGGCAGTAATATTCACAGGACCCTTAGAGGGGATCCTTACAAGAGTACTAGAATTTGTAATCACAGACATGTCTTCAAGCTCTAGGCCTTGAGACATGCTTTTACATAAGCTCTACACAGAAGGAGTCTTCTCAAATAGAATGACACAGTCATCCATCAAATGTTGAGTGACTTATTTTAGAAGTACACAACCATTGGATTGGTACTCGCAATAGTAGCAGTTTCCAATGAAATCCAGAAATAAACCAGCTTGCAACAGCTTCTTCTAAACAATCATCAGAGGAGTAGTCAAGTCACTCATAGAAGCAATATAAGAAACATTACCAACAACATTAACTACTCTGTCATGATTAGGCATAGGTGCAGTGATCACATTAGGAGTCTCAGGAGGATCAACTTCAATCTCCTTAGAGTCAATCATATCTTGAATCTTATTTTTCAGGCCTTAATATTTGTTAGTGTCGTGTCCAGGACTGTTGGAGTGATATGCACACCTTGCATTTGGATTGTAACAGGGAGAGTAAGTATTAGGATTCTGAGGGGGATCCTTCAATTTAACCATCTCTGTTTTCAACATGTGTTTCCATGCTTGAGACAACGACATGTTGATTTTTTTGAACTGTCTCCTGGGTGCATCTTGCCTATGCTGATTATTCTATTGTTGTTGTTGCATTGGCGCATGATTAGAGATCATAACTTCCCCCATAGATTGGTTGTGATTACTCTTATTACAACCCTTCTGACTGTACACAACATTGTATTCTCTCTTACCATTGTATGACTTTTTAGGAGTATTTGAAGATGTAGCCACCTGAATTTTACCACTTCTGATTCCATTCTCAACATGTTCCCCTGTCAATATCAGTTCAGTGAAATAGACTGAAGAAATTCCAAGTAGGTGATTATAGAAAGGACTTGTTAGCGTACTCATGAACATGTCAACCAATTCCCTATGATCCAAAGGAGGTTGAACTCTGTCTACAAGATCTCTCCATTTCTGTGCGTACTCCTTAAAGCCTTCCTCGGAACCCATGGACATACTTTGTAGTTGCATGCGGGTTAGTGCCAAAACAAAATTGTATTGATACTGTTTATAGAAAGTTACAGCCAAATCTTCCCATGTATGGATATTACTACCTTCAAGTTGATAATATCATTCCAATTGTGTTCCAGACATACTTTCTTGAAATAAATGCCACCATAATTTCTGGTCAGCAGTGTGTGGTTGAATTTTTCGAACATATGATCTCAAATGCAGCCTCGGGAAAGAAACGCCATCATACTTTGAAAAGGTAGGAGTTTTGAACTTATGAGGAATGACGACTCTTGAGACAAAGCCTAATTCTTAAAAGTTCAAGCCAGGAACCTTCTGGATCTCCATAGCTTTCAGACGCTCTTCTAACAGCTTATACTTCTCTCCAGCGGGGGGATATTGTTCATCCAAATAATCCTCTTCCTCTTCATCAGAATATTTGTCAGAACCATGATTGCTTTTTTAAGTTTTCACACTCTTACCATCTTCATCCCGTTTGTCATCTTCGTCCGATGGGATATCAAGATCTTGAGCTTGCTTTACTGGACCTCTGAACCTTCTCCCCGTGTTAAGGATGCCAATTGGTTTCTTTGTCTTCTTCTTATTATTATTTCCCCTTGGCTAAATTCAGGAACGTCTCTTGGAACTGAGCATTCTTAGCCTGGAGTTCTTTGACTGTCTGTTCGAGAGCCATTTTTGCTGAAATAAACAACAAGAAGATGAGAAACATGTCTTGGAAACCTGTTATATAATGATATGTATGGCATGTAGATGCATATGCAATGTTTTCAAGGACCTCGAGGGATTTAAATTTTTTAATAAAAAAGAGAACATAAATGAAGACTGTTATTAGTAAGTTCAAATTATAAATGCCTCTTAGGCTTACAATGAAAACAAAAAAAGGGTTACAAGGAAACAAATTATGACTCAAGTCTCCCATGGACACTTCCTCTTTGTGTTTACGTATGCGTGAAGGCTCTGCTCTTCGTGAAGTCATTTTGTCAGCTCCAACACCTTCTTCTCAATAGCATAAAACTGAGTCTCAAAGGTGTCCCTTTCTTCTTTCAATTGAATCCAAGACTTTTGTAGCTCTTTAAGGTCAATAGGCATATCTGGATGAAGAATGGTATGAGGAATGTCTACTTCAACAAGAGGCTCAACAATTACTGGTAGGACCGTAGGATATGGCATTGTAAGATTTTGAGCACGATATCACACCCATCAGAGGTAGGGCTCCAAATGGATGGAGTTTTTCCGTCCCAAAGTAATTCTACCGATCTCATTCACCATTCCCCAAGCGCGTATAAACTTCTGAAGGTGACCTTGAATATCGTTCTCGTAATCGAATATAATACCTTGGATAAGCATATCATGAGGACCGTATCTTCATGCATAACCAAATTGAAGTAGAGCTAGAGAAGGGTTGTAACAATCTATTGGA